CTATGACAAGAATGTGGTATTGATTTGTCCCTGGCTGATAATTTCTTTCACTTAAAGTTATTCCCAACATGTGACAAAACAATGAATTACATCACATTGTGATGAAACCTGTATTCATTGATTTTCTTGACAAACAAAATGTAATACCGCACAGCTGTTTGGAGAGGGAAATGAGTGCCTTTCCTGTGTGTGTACATCTCTGTATGCAGCCTGTAACAACTTTGTCAGTGTACACCATTGTATATGTCCTGTAGCTATCTACAGTCAGTGTATTCGGTCAGATATCACATGTGGCTAGGGAATCAACTCCAGCAGCATATTCTGTGGGATATCTTCTCAATGGTGATATTGACACCCAGTATTGGATCGTCTTTCGGTTGAGTTTTCTTCTTTTTGCTGCCAGTGTAAACTGATCGGTACTGGCTGTGAATGATAATCTACACAGAATAGTTCTCAGGAAAGTAGTTTCTTGTTTGCTGTAGCTTCTCCCGGCAGGGTGTAGTCATTTATCTACATGACCTGACCTTGATAGTATTACAGATATGACAGCCCCAATTACAGGGTACAGACTGGAGTTGTGGAGTGTAGCACAGATGTCACTGTCCATATGCTCTCCTAAGGTGGGAAGCAAGGCCCTACTGAAATTCTGGGTTTGATTCCATTTCTGGTTAAGCGGGGACAATACATTTATGATGGTATGCAGAGCTTGACATGAGCTTGTTCCTGTTAGTCCTCATTTAATTTAGAAACTAATGATAATTAACATTATGACCTTTCGGAAAGTGTTACTGATCCATAGACCTTTTGATCAATCCCACTATTGGTGAATCCTGTTATTCTGGCCATGCAGGAAACAGACTTGATTGTTGATTATAATAAACAGGATACTTGTCAACAGTTGAAGGTCTCACTTGCCCAAAGGCTACCTCTTAACATGGACAGGTTGCTTTACTCATATTGTGAGATGGGCCAGTGCTTGACATTCTGAATCACTGGTCTATATATCATGGTCTAGATGGAAAATCGTTCTTCCTATCCACTCCTGATCTGCAGTCTATTGTTGCCAAGTTTTTTTATTCCTGAACCTGACATCCATGACCAACTTCAGAAGGTGTAAGTTTTGCGAGACCTGATTGCCTCCTGACATTTCTCTCAATATCTGACATCCTGTTGTCATGCCTATTACAGCACATTATCTGCTATCACGACACACAGCTATACTGTGGCCGGGTCCCATCACACTATGCTGTAGTGGTGTCAGCGGCAGCAAGTTCATGGTGTCCTTAGACTTGCTCATACATGTACTGTTAGTGTTATAACACAACTTTTCAATTTACTGATTAGTGTCATTGTGTGTTGGTAACGGAGTATTGTACATACAGTTTAAGGCAGGGAGAACATGTTCATCTTCCATTGGACCTTTTATATTTAACAATGTTATGATATTGTAGATAGTGATTTATGATCACTTCAGTCCTGCTCAGAGTTTACCTGCAGTAAAGTGTCACCAATCATTCTCAGGACAGCAATTTACAAAGTTTATGAGAAGGATGACAACTGTAAACAGTGTAGTTGGTCCCCCTTGTCCACAGTCATGGCTGTCTACCAATCAGTCCTTGGTTTTTGTGTGGACTATTAGCTAAGTTTGCTAGATCAATGGAAAACATACTACACTTTGGCTTCAGAGACCAGAGACTCAGGTCCAAGACTGCTTTAATTAAATAATGCCCCTATTTATATAATATGAGGATATTAACTCCTGTGGACATGTTCTTGTTTTGGAAGACTTGATCCTTTGGTTAGTATTACAAAAAGTTCCCACTGGCGTCATTTTTCCTGTGCACCAATTTTTCAATCGCTGTAAGGCTGAGGAGATGTGTTTTTAAAAAATAATGTTGATTCTTTGGTGGGCAGAATATCATTTTAGATCAGTACAGCTAAAATTGGAAATTTGTTTGTTTGGAAGGTCAATAAAGAGTTGAGCTGTAATGTGCTGTAAACTTGAAACTTCTCCTCAGAGTAATCTTGCTATGGTGATTTCCGTCACACAATTCTCAATTTGCTCAAAATATTCTTATCTGAATAAATATAGCTGCTCTATTTTTATGATGTTACATCTAAAATGTGTTATTTTACACTCAACTGTAAAATACTGTGTGCATTACAGTAAGCACTCATAACAATCATACTGATGCTGCAGCCTTAGGCAAGATCACACATTAAGCAAGTGTTATCAAGATGTTTCTCAATGTTACTTCATGGTATGCTTGTTATCAGCTCCAGGTATAATCTCTGCCCCAGGTAGTGGACATTCCAGGCTGGCCTGGTCGATCTGGTCAGCCGCACCAAAGGTTATTGGACTGCAGATGGCCTGAGGTTAATGCTGTTATGTAATGGTTAGTGAAATTTAATGGTCCACATCCCATGGTCCACCTTGGCTGAGGCCTTGTCTGGCTTGCTACATTTGTTTGGGACAAAACAGAGGATAGGGTTTCACAAAATGCTCCAGCTGGTTCAAGGCTGAAAGCATTCCTGATTTTCACTAGATAAAGCTCTCATGCTTTGAGGTGCTTCAAAGCAGTGTGTCTCAGATCTACCATCAGTTGATATTTTTATAATGTCATATTAAATAAGCAGGTTTGTAGAGATGATAATATTTACTTCAAAATGATTAAATAAACAGACATAAGGAAGTAAACAGCCATTGTGTCTTTTGTTCCTATCAGTGTGAATAGTGTAAGCATTGATATTAAGTCAGCATGATAGTACTTCAAAGGTAAATATATAAAGGAAGCATTATTATCATAAGCACCATGCCTATATTTCATTTTGAAAAAAATCAATCAGAATATATAACAATATGAAGAGTGAATGTGACAAGTCATAAGTTAGCTGTGCACTGTTCAGAAACAATTTGCTGTAATCAGAAAGTTAGGGTCAGTTAACTTAAGTCATTTCTATTGGGTTAATGCAAGATCAGCAAGGTAAGTAGAAGCTTGGTCTTAATGCCAGATGATTATCTCATGAACTACGCATTCACCCTTTGGCTAGTCAGGTAAGTTAATTGAATATATTGGCCATGTATGTGAACTTTAGATAAACGTCAAGAAAATGAATGTCTATCCATGATAGATTATTCATGAAGGAGTGGTGTTTAACTCCTTGTTGAAGAACTGAATGTGATATGTGAAAGATTTAACTGTATAGGATTAGCAGCAACAGCAGTTTTGGGGGTTACAGAGGCCTCTGTTTTGGGATACCCCAACTTCAAGATTAGGGTCGTGACCAGGACCTGTTAAATCTTCTAATTTCAACATAAGAATCAAGACCTAGATCAAGTCCAAACATCAACTGAGTTTATCATGTAGCTTTTCTGAATCTGGAGAAATGTAGATTTCATTAATAAAAGAATTATGAAGTTCCTGACTTTGGATGAGTAACTCGTGTTTTTGGGCTGGGTGGGTACTGAATAGGATCCAGGTATTGACAAGTCTACCCTGGCATGTGGTTAGTCATGTGATTTATTGTTAAATGATAAACGTTCTCCGTAACAGTTTAACTACAGGTCACCAGTGTTTGTTATGTCTATGCAGACTTGCATTCTGACTTTTACTTGTTTGAATAAATATTCAGTGTGCGTCAACTTTGACCAAATCATTTTCTATGTGCATCTGAATACCTTTTGCCAGGATTCTAGTAAAACCAGTTCACAAGCTGATAATTTGTTCTCTACTCTTAAAATCTCCAGTGTGTATCTGGATAGGGTTGGTAACTAGTGGGTTGGGTACCTAGGTAAGAAATTTCAGTCCTCCAAACTCATTTTTTAAGCTCTGTTATGTATAAACCTCTTTTCCTGTTTTTGTTGGAACAACATAAACTATGTATGTTGCAATTCTGCTAGAAAAGAGATTGATTTTCTTTGCACTTACACATTTGGAAAAATGGTTTTAGGCAAGTTAGTAGCTGTTGTTGTGGTATAGCAGTTGATTCAATTTGTGAAACAAGCAATGGTTTGTGTGGTCCCCTAATGATTATTGTGCTGGCTCATCAAACTGAAGAAGACATTGTCATCACATTGTGACTACATGACATGAATACAATTTACAAAGCCAAGCATGCAACCACTGTTATGATCCTCTATTGCAGCTAAAAGCTACATTAAATCTTCTTCTCATTATTGACCATCCATGAAACGACTACCCCATTTATCTTGAGGGTGAATTAGCTACTGTTTCAGGTCTGCCTATTTAGGTCAGTGTTTCACTCCATGGTTACATAGACATTGATCTAAACTTGAATTGTCCACAACCTTGGTACGTTACCATTATCCTGAAATAGTCTGAACAGAAAGAAATCAATACATGAAGCATAGACGTGGTAGCCATGTGACTCACCAAGTACATGTGCAGGAATATGTCATGGGATTTCCATGCATAATGCTCTTAGTTGTCTGGTGATCCATCTGGTTGTATATTAGTATCATAAATCTGTCTATTGAACTTATTGGATTTACAGTGAGTTGATACAGTTTCTTGTCTAACATCGTTTTCAATTTGAATGTCAGAAATATTGCATCACCAGTGACATCTATCATCATAATTTAATAACCTGATAGCAGATCTGTCAGGTTGTTGGTCAGTAAATTCACACATAAACGGCTGTGGAAAATATAGTGAAGTATATTTCAAGGGCTTTCCTTTTAGTGCTATATCCGTTGCAGTATAATAATATTGTGTAAAGACAACACTTATGATCTAATGCTCTAAAACCACAAGGAATGCAGCCCCTGACCGATCAGCCTCCTAGGGTGTGAGAGAGTCTGAGGGAGACTTGAGACATGGGGAGGCAAGAGAAGTGCATCTGTGCATATTGATTGGTGACCTGGGTTGTAATTGATTGTGCTGGGCTGGCTGGAATGTGTGTATTGTGCAGCGGTATCTGAGAGTTCAGGCTGTCTGTGTGGAGTGTTGGTGACTCACTCTCGCTGTCCTACGCCTTGTCATAGGTACCACACCACCCTGTGCCTCTCACTTGACTCTTCACATGGATGTGCTCTAACACTGCACTAAGCTACAGGACACTACCTTTGGATAACACTGGACTTGAAAACCACATGCATATTTTGTGATAAAACTGGTTTGTATTTAATTCATCATTCAAAATCTAATTCCGTGTGTTACTGTGTTTATTTTCATTTCATTCCTGTTAAAGGGAGTGGTCAAGTTCTGTGAGTTCTGTAAAAGGCTGGTTCTCCTGAACATATGGAAGGTCAGCTCCAGCTGGCCTTTGGCAGACTTATCAGAATCAACCACTCAAAGATAATTCACCCATTTCTTGCTTTGCAGATATTTCCTTAACTAGGAGTTGTGTCGGTGGTAGATTGATTATCTTTAATCCATGTAGTTATCAGTTTGGATATTGCTCCAGAATAACAAGATTTGGCAATGTATTGAACATCTGGAGTTGGGCATATGGGAATGATGGCTTTATTGTTGATGAAACAGGATACTGCTATGGAGGAAATGTGCACAGTGGTTTTATTAAGGAAACAATGGACCTGCTATATTGTAGGAAATGTTCGTATTAGAGAATTGGCTGAACTTGTGTTGCGGATGTTTCGTGGAATTTGATTTCAAAACGGGAAATGCTTCTCGGTCACATTGTGGAAATGTCTCCCACTGATATTAGCTATCCGTGAATCAGATTGTTTTATCGGTTTGAGTGATAGTGTCTATGTAGGAGTGTAATAATTGCTGTGCTGCTGATGTATGTGAGATTGCTTCGTTGAGAGTTATTTCAGCTATGTAGGCTTGGGCTGATTATATTTATCATTGTCTTACAAACATGACTGGAGGTAATAGCTGATAAAGATAACTATCAGCTCTTATTCTACATTCTACATTTAGTATGTTTGTTCACATATATTGATCTAGTTTTGTAATCAAGTGTAAGATGGCATTCCTATTTAAACATCAAGCCTGTGATTTTCACTCAAGATGGGGTCAAGTGTAGTGTGAAAATAAGATATTTGAATAAGCAATGTGAGTGTTTGGAGTAGTTCATACTACTATAGGCTTCAGTACAGTGTACACCTAAACTTCAATGACTCATTCGAGTAATGTATTACAAATACAACTACCAGCATGTCTAGAACAGCTAACTAATTTTGTGAAAGTTTGGTTAAAATGATGAATAAGTGTTTTTAACAATGAGGGTGAGTTGAATTTTAGCCAATTTTAACACTTGAACCATTTGAACCACTACAACACCACCAATTTTAGCAATTAGCATAATAGGAATAGTCATTTGAAACTATAGTTTCATCAGCAGTAAATGTGCATTATTACACTGTATATGTCTGAAAACCTGTTTTGAATCGTCTTGAGGTTTTGTAAAACTTGTAATTTTCTGTGTTGCTGATTGTGATGGCAATCTGAAACAATTGTGGTCAGTCCGTGTCAGTAAGACGTATACATGATGAAATTTATCCGGATGACTGTTTTAAGCTGATATATGTCAATATATGTCAGAGGCAGTAATGTCTTCAGACAGGTTAAGCTGACCAGCACTGTTTGTGGGTTGACTGGCAGTTAATTTATCTCTATACCAATAAAGGTGAATTGTTACCTCTGAAGGGCTTGGATGTTTATCTTGACACTGGAAAGACATTATCAGTTGTTATAAGTAGATCCTGGACATTAATGGAGTACAGGGACATGATGTTTGATGTACACTTGATAGTATCCTGACTCATTGGGCGACAGCCTCAACGTGTCAGGGAAGGCAAGGTGGCCTGGTGATCTAATGCTGCGATTCACTATGCAAAACATGGTCAGCGTCCATGACCTGCATCTCTTCTGTTCCTCCTTGCACAATAGATAGACACACCTTGATAGACACACCTTGATAGGAGTCGGATACTGTTCAAAGCGTCACTAAATAGTTTGATTTTGTCGTCATACCAGTGATGGTATGATGCCCGGGTAAGATCATCCTCTGTGATCTGAATATAGGTGGAGCGTAAGTGTTATTGCGCAAACCAGGATATTAAACAAAGCATTCATTTATCCATTGCTGGAGGTAGACTACTGTCATAGCATTGAAAGTCTTATTAGCAGCCCCAATAAGTTAAATAGATTGAAATTATGGCAGACTGTCAAGTAAATGGAAAACCTGGGCATTTCAAATCATTTGAAGCTGACTGGATTTGATGATTCATAATGTTGTCCTTAGGGTACATTAGAATATTTATCATACACCCAGGTTTGTGATTCTGAGTTTGATAGTACCAGTAGGTGTACAAGGATAGAACTATCCACTCATATTTATCTCAGGTCACATTGTGAAAGTCTCCACTAGAATTTCCCACTGATTACATCTTAAATTACAGATCTTTTTACAAGTCCCATTGTACACTGTTTGAATTAAACTACATTTAGAAGATGACAGCTAACTTGATCAACTTAATGTCAAATGTTGATATATGATATGAGGTCCTTAAATTCAGGAGAAGGTCCTCCATCACTGCTACCTTGTTGCTGGAGGTCACACGACAGTTCGATGGAGCATGACACATCTATTACAATAGCTGCAGCCTTGGGCATGGAAGCAGGTGTGACCCAACAGCACAAGGAGTGACTGTGGCGTAACTCTCTGCCATGGTTGTCTCTGCTGATAAAACATGCTCCATAGATCAGGTTATCGACTGCCTCGAGCAGACAGGATAATACCTGAATGCCTATCCTCAAAGTTAAGGCTTAACATAGATTTCCTACACTATTTTAAATGTCAGTGTGTCCCGAAAATATTAATTAATATCTAAATGTAACATGCTTAATTGTGTATGAAAATTGAAAGTAATAAGAAAATATGGTTGTAAATGTTCACAAACTGGACACAATCGGAAATAGTGAGTATTGTCCATAATGCAAACAAGCTATAAACAGAATAAAAAGCATTGTTAGTTTTCCCCACCAACTGGACATGTTAGTGAATAATAAGGAAAAGTCAGTTGAAGTGGGAAAGAGGAAGTATGAAAACTTCTTAGTTTTCCTCACAGGTGGTTGACAAAACCAAGTTGCACTCTTGTCCCATAAATATACTGAAGTTCAAAAACAGATGCATAAGCTAGTTTGAATAAATACTATCTCTGACCTTTCATAATTTTACATAAATAAATGATGTATTGCTGTAAAGAGCAACATGAATGTGTGCACATAATCTTCAAGTACCGACTGTCTCATGTCTAGCTCAAGAAAGCATGACAAATTATGCAACGCTATTACCAGTGATATCAATGGTACGTGGCACTTAAGATGTATTGTGTGTTTTCAAAGATCATTGTGAGAAGAAGTAAAGGTTTTGACATGCACTAAGTGCATGTACACATAATTATTAGGTAGCACACTTCAGTAATAGGCTGTGCTGATGCACGTTTTAAGAAGTTAAATTGAGCCCATATATGGAAAAATGGGTATTGTCACTTGTCAGGTTGTCCACAAAGAAAATGAACATAAGAAACATGAGTGCTGAGTAATGTGGTGTGAAGCAGTAATACACAACAAGATTTAGTTATCACTTCAACACAAATGAATACACCTGCAGAGTGTATTTTAGGTTTTGTCATTTTAACAGTCTGTCTCTAAAGTTAAGTTTTTGATTTTTCATTACGACTACTCATGGTTTCAATTGGTGCATTGTATGTCTGTGTCAGATCTTGAATGCTTCTCCAAATGGAAATCTTCAAATCAAAATGTATTTACTGGGATAGGTTTTTTGTCACTGATGGGCCATTTAAATCTAGAAAAAGATAGATGTCTGTTTAAGGTTGTTGGAAAGGAAACTAGATCCACGTAATATCTGGGACTTCAATGCCTGTACATGAGAATGCTGTACAACAATCTGTTACTGTGACCTGCCACCTCTACAGAGATGGGGTTTCCTGGAATGTACTGTTGTCTCTTGTTCTGGCATGTATAGCATGTAGGGTTCAGATCGTTACTACCAGCCACCTGGGACCATCTAGCCCACTGTTTAATCAGCCTCTGCGTTTGATGACAGGAGTTAATCATCAGCATGGATTTACAGTTACTATATGATTTGTGTTATTGATGTCAGAACATTGGTATGGTAACCCGACCCTTCTGTTTTCTGTCACAGTATTCAGAATTGTTGCACTGGATATATTTTGATGAACAGTATTTCTTGAAACAGAATATACCTTGTAGTAGATATATATAGGTACATAACTGGGCGGCGTTTCATTGGTTTGTCTTTGAGCTTTTATTGTGACATACACTAATGGTTACAGAAATGGAAGGTGAATTCTCTTAATAAAAGTGATTTTGTATTGTGTATGCATGTTTCTTTTGCCAAGATGTTCCTTGTGTCATAGTGGTGGGATTATGGCATAGATAGATTGATGGAATCAATGATTGAAGTATTCCCTTGTCATGCTGACAGACTTTGTTGAATTTCCAAATTGATACAATGTTTGGAGCCCATGGTTATATTATTATTTTTGTATATTGCTAGAAGTGGTTTAGAACTATCTGCTTGTATGATGCTACCGGTACCCATCTTTATGCATGACAAAAGCAAACAGACAAGCACACACAATTTGCAAAATAGTTCCTCTTGAATTCTTTATTTAGAACAGACTATAGCTTTCACCTAACAGCAAGACAGAACATTCTTCCCATTACCATCATTCCATTATCTGATAGCCTTACCCACAGGAGAGCTGGGATCACTGACAGCAGGCAGACTCAGGCTGGGGAGCAGGGTCAGGATGTAGTCAGTAGTAAGTGGGGAGGACCTCAGTCTGAGCATCCAGTTTGACATGCTGCAGTTTGGACTATTCAGAAGCTTATTAGACTGGGTGGTTATGGAGCTTGGAAGAGTCTAGGTCAGCTGTTTTGGGTCACCAATTACATTGGAAGTTGCAAGTACTGATCTCATTTCCTGCAGTCTGCCACCATCCATCTTGTCAGTACCCTGGGCCCCCATTATTGTGTTGTTGGTGTATTTGTAAAATGTAACTGAAGATTGGCTTTAGTTGCCAGAAAGATGAACTGTTTTGAGATATCACTTGTCCATCTGTTATGCAGGTGAGAAGTGTAAGCAAATTTATGAGT